GTAAGAAGCATTTCAAGGTCCTGGAGTGGCCTAGCCAGTCTCCAGACCTGAACCCAATAGAAAATCTATGGAGGGAGCTGAAACTCTGTGTTGCCCAGCGACAGCCCCAAAACCTGAAAGATCTGGGGAAGACCTGTATGGAGGAGTGGGCCAAAATCCCTGCTGCAGTGTGTGCAAACCTGGTCAAGAACTACAGGAAACGTTTGACCTCTGTAATTGTAAACAAAGGTTTCGGTACCAAATATCAAGTTCTATTTTTCTATTGTATCAAATACTTATTTCATGCGATAAAATGGAAATAAATTATTTAAAAATCTAACTGTGATTTTCTGGAATTTTTTTTGTAGATTCTGTCTCTCACCGTTGAGGTGTACCTATGATGAAAATTACAGATCTGTCCATTCTTTGTAAGTGGGAAAACTTGAAAAATTGGTGGTGTATCAAATACCTATTTGCCCCACTGTAACCCAGGGGCCCTCTCTCCACTGTGTGTCTTCCAGTGTGGTTGTCTGTGTATATTTGACTGAACAGCCCTTTGAATGAACTAGTTTGTTTGTGCCTTTTTCAAGTTATTGTGTGGATGCTGACAAGCCCCACAAAATAAGAATAATAATTTATTATTATTCCTGCTTCCATTCATCTTTTTGATAATGTTGATACTTTTTTAAGATATTCAGCTTTCTTTTAATAATAGAAGTCAATGGGAGCTCAAAGTGCTGAGTCATCCTAATGCTGCAGCTCAATGGCACAGTCCTGGTGGTCTGGTGGTCAATAAAATGCAGTGCAATTGAGACACATCTGTGTCTTCTGTCTGTTTCCACACTCTTGTTATTCCCTTCTTTATTATTGTGTGGATGCTGTGAAGCATCCCTACTATGTTTTTCTGTTCTTTATTGTATGGATGCTGATTCAACATCCATATTATGTTTTCAAATTTATTGTATGGGTGCTGATTCAGCATCAAGCTGATTTCCTGGTCTTTCTTTTTTTATTATTCTTCCATACGTTTTTTGGCCCTTAATTACTTCAGCATACTTTCAGCTAGAAAAACCATTCAGGTATCAAAATGTTCAGCTTTTTAAGGACATGTGCGGATCTATTCAGAATTTTCCTAAATTTCATATTTCTTAAACTACTTTTTCAGCAAAATTTTGCCCATTCAAATGAATGGGGAAAGTCTTCTTCAGCACACTTTCAGCTATTTCAGCAATCAAAATGTTCAGCTCTTCAAGGACATTCATGCTTCTATTCAGAATTTTTCTAAACTTCATACTTTAAAAATATTTTGCTTTATTTTGAAATTCTTGCCCGATTCAAATGAATGGAGGAAATTCTATTTCAGCATACTTTCAGGTATGAAAATGTTCAACTCTTCAAGAACATTCATGCTTCTATTCAGAATTTTTCAAAACATCCTACTTTTGAAATATTGAGCTTTATTTTGAAAATCTTGCCCGATTCAAATGAATGGGGAAATTCTACTTCAACATACTTTCAGCTATTTCAAGTAGCAAAATTTTCAGCAATTCAAGGACATTCATGTTTCACTTCACAATTTTTCTAAACTTCATACTTTTCAAATGTTTCTTTATTTTGAAAATTTTGCCCCATTCAAATGAATAGAAGCATGAATGTCTTTAGTAGTTGAACATTTTGATAGCTGTAAGTATGCCTAAGTAGAATTTTCCCATTCATTTGTATGGGGCAAATTTTTCAAAATAAAGCTACATATTTCAAAAGTATGAAGTTTAGGAAAATTCTAGAAAGATGTCCACATGTCCTGACAAAGCTGAACAATTTTAAACCTGAATGGTTTTTCTAGTTGGAAGTATGCTGAAGTAGTTAAGGGGCAAAAATGTACAGAATAATAATAATAATAACTAGAGAAATGCATTTCCTGTCAAAAATGTGTGTAGATGCTATGTGCTAAAGGATCGCACTGAAAATGCTGAACATTTTGACACCTGAAAGGCTTATCTACCTCAAAGTATGCTGAAGTAGAATTTTCCCATTATTTAGAATGAAATAGCTGAAAGTATGAAGTAAAATTACCTCGTTCATTTGAATGCGGCAAGATTTTCATAATAAAGGTAAATACAGTGGGTACAGAAAGTATTCAGACCCCATTAAATTTTTCACTCTTTGTTATATTGCAGCCATATGCTAAAATCATTTAAGTCCATTTTTTTCCTCATTCTATTCAGAATTTTTCAAAACATCCTACTTTTGAAATATTGAGCTTTATTTTGAAAATCTTGCCCGATTCAAATGAATGGGGAAATTCTACTTCAACATACTTTCAGCTATTTCAAGTAGCAAAATTTTCAGCAATTCAAGGACATTCATGTTTCACTTCACAATTTTTCTAAACTTCATACTTTTCAAATGTTTCTTTATTTTGAAAATTTTGCCCCATTCAAATGAATAGAAGCATGAATGTCTTTAGTAGTTGAACATTTTGATAGCTGTAAGTATGCCTAAGTAGAATTTTCCCATTCATTTGTATGGGGCAAATTTTTCAAAATAAAGCTACATATTTCAAACGTATGAAGTTTAGGAAAATTCTAGAAAGATGTCCACATGTCCTGACAAAGCTGAACAATTTTAAACCTGAATGGTTTTTCTAGTTGGAAGTATGCTGAAGTAGTTAAGGGGCAAAAATGTACAGAATAATAATAATAATAACTAGAGAAATGCATTTCCTGTCAAAAATGTGTGTAGATGCTATGTGCTAAAGGATCGCACTGAAAATGCTGAACATTTTGACACCTGAAAGGCTTATCTACCTCAAAGTATGCTGAAGTAGAATTTTCCCATTATTTAGAATGAAATAGCTGAAAGTATGAAGTAAAATTACCCCGTTCATTTGAAGGCGGCAAGATTTTCATAATAAAGGTAAATACAGTGGGTACGGAAAGTATTCAGACCCCCTTAAATTTTTCACTCTTTGTTATATTGCAGCCATATGCTAAAATCATTTAAGTCCATTTTTTTCCTCATTAATGTACACACAGCACCCCATATTGACAGAAAAACACAGAATTTTTGACATTTTTGCAGATTTATTAAAAAAGAAAAACTGAAATATCACATGGTCATAAGTATTCAGCCCCTTTGCTGTGACACTCATATATTTA